CGGTCTCAGTCAGCGGAAGCGACAGAATCGGTCTTCGCATCCTCGGAACTCCACATTCTCCAGCGCGTCAATACGTCCGCTACAGTTTCCGATCTTGTTCGCAACGACTTCGAAAGCAATGGCCGAACGACCCGCCAAGTCAGGGTCATCTCGAAAGCGTGCGCTCGTGAGCTGCGACCGCTGCAAAATTCGACGGGCACGGTGCATTCGCGAGAATGCCGACGTGCCTTGTGCGGACTGCAAGGCAAATGGCGTGGTTTGTGAATCCAAGCTACCACGTAAACAGAGAGTGTATGGGAGTGTGGAGACGCTCAGCCTACGCTACAGAGCTCTTGAGTCGCTAGTCAAAGGGCTTTTTCCGGATGAGAATGTTCAGGACACAGAGACCCTGTTCAAGATCGCCACGGCAAGCAACATAGCAATGCCGGCGAGCGACGACTATACACCTGCAGATATCTTCAGCAATAGCAGTAGCGACAGACAGGCTTCTTCTTCGGAACAGCAACAAAGGCAGCAGCAGCATCAGTCGTTGCAAACATCACCCATTGCTCAGTCCCCATACTTGGACCCACACACTACTACATATCCCCTGCACACTGCTCACCGCACATCTTCCTTGTCTACAAGCAAAGAGCGCCTACGCCAGCCTGCTTCCGTAACCCAACAAGTATCTTCCCAGGCAGAAGAGGTCATTCGCACAAATCGAGGCGTCTCGCATTATTTCGGTCCTTCCAGTAGCTTTCGGCTTGCAACGACTATACGAGCACTTGCGTCCCGCTGGAAAGCCGTCTCTGGTGCAGACTTTCCTGGACTCCGGTCATTCACATCAAACCCCTCAAGTCGATCAGGATCGGCGCTGAAACGCAGCAGCACAAATCCTTCGGAAGACGAATTTGCTATACCCACATCGAGCCAGCGTCCCAATTCGAGCCATGGAAGTCGGAAGAGATCCAGAACTGAGATGGAGGCATCGAATGATCCGTCGCAACTTCAAGATAGTACTTCACGTCTAGATACAATTGGTGATTTGATTCCCCCAAAACACATCACTGACGCTTTAGTAGCGGTCTATTTTGATCAGATTCACATGTACTTTCCCCTGTTCAATAGAACCGTGTTTCAGATGCGACTGGAAACTACATACTCGCGAAAGGGCGACTTCATTGACGAATGCAAGGACATGGGATGGCTAATCTCACTGGCTTTGGTCCTGTCTTTCGGTTGCCAGCAATCAAGAGCAAATGATGTCGACCAAATGCAAGCGCTCCGCCGCAAGCTTGTTGTTTTCGCCAAAACCTACTTCCGTGTACTTTTGACGGCGACGCAATTAGAGAACGTTCAGGCACTTGTCCTTCTCAACATGCACCATCACAACGTTGGACAAAAGAGCAGTTCGTGGTTACTGATTGGTCTTGCTGCACGCATGGTACGTTACTTGCTGCACACGGTTCCGGTCCTCTGCTAACGCTTGATGCTAGGCAATCACCATGGGAATGCATCGCGATAGCTCGAATCTACAGTTTGAACCCATCGAATGCAACGTGCGCCGGCAAGTATGGTGGTCCATCTACATATTTGAGAAGATACTGTGTGGTATATTGGGTCGTCCTACGGGAATTGACGACAGAGAGGTAGCGATGAAGGTTCCCGACGCACCAATGCTCGAGCAAACGCGCATCACCGCAATTTTCATGAACCTCTGCTCCGACCTCGTGTCTTTGTCGTACCGTATCCGACAACGTGCATACTTCGACAAGACCTCGTCCGAAGAGCGATCGCCGACGCTGGCTGTTGCCATGACCCTACTCCGCGAATGCGACAACTTCTACGCGAACATCCCTCCACACATGTCCCTTGATCAAGCCCCAGGAGGTACAGACTCGAAGGCAATGATTCTGTTGCTGCACATGTACTACTATTATACACGCTGTGTCATCTCCCGAGACTTTCTCATACAAAAAGTCGAGAGCAACGTCTGCTTCTTGGAGAACAAAGCGTTACCGGCTTCTGAGGATTGGCCATCGACTCTAATACTTGCGGAAGACTGTGTTGACTCGGTGCACAAGAGTCTCCAGTGCATCACAATTGGGATAGATCTTGGTATCTTCGAGATCATGGGCTACTCGTGGTTAGACTTTTTCTTTGTATTCCATGCCGTCTTGATAGTATGCGCAGACTTCCTCGCTCGACCCAAAGGTCAAACAGATTCACCTAGAGACATCGAGCGCAAAGCGACGGTGTGCACTGTCCTCGAGCAGGTCCGTGGAATGCAGCAAAAGCTCCCATCCACATACAAAACCTTGGGTCAAATTGCGCTGCAGTTCGCAAGGATAACCGGTGTCACCCAAGACAGTGATTCACCAACGACACAAGACGCACCAGCCGATGCGTCTCTAGAATCTGTTGTGGATATGGCACATGAGGAAAGCAACGACCAAGTCGGCATGCTTGACATAGGAGGCGATTGGTACACGGATGCGACAGCAGATCTAGGGTTAGATTTCTTCGACCTGGGCCAAGCGACGCATCCGGTGACATTCCCTATCATGGATCCTCCAACACGTTCTGAGAACGCGGGCGATCCGACGGGTGACGTTGTAGATGATTGGACGGACAGGGCGCTAAAGGGGATGCACACCCTTTAGACGCGATATCACGCCTTGAAGTCCAAGTAAATTGTATGAAAACATTTATCTTGCCGTCATAAAGTGTCTTTGAAGCGTGGATGACATCATCACCTAGCGTGGTGTTTGCGTTGAATTAGCGCTTGGCGATGCACGATCGTCCGATAGCCGCAGCCAGTCAAGATCGGCCCAAACCTCTTTGGGATTTCATGACGCATTTGTTCACGGTTGATGTCGTTACAGCTGCAGACAAATACAGGTCCGCGGTAGCTCGCATGGTTGCAGCATGTCGCATAAGTGCTGAGATTTCGTTTCGATGCCACACTCACACGACACAGAGCCTATTCTACCAACTACGAATATGGCAGGCGGCAACAACAGAAATGGAAAGAAGAAGGTGCTTGTTGTGGGAGCCGGCGCCGCTGGTACGTTGAATGCGTTTTTCGAGATCTATGGTTCCTAATTCGAAGCAGGAATGTCAGCCGCTCACCACCTTTCTGAACATCCCGACAAGTTTGACGTTACCCTCATCGACGCAGTAGATTACTGTGGAGGCCAGGCGTTTTCTATTGGAGTCGACAAGGAGCGCCATGGAGCTGACTGGCTGAACCAAGGTGTTCAAGGTGGAAGCTACATTTTCCATCACACCATGACAATGTTTGCGAGACAAGGCCATCATGCTGATCCCGTGAACCTTCAAGTCTCCTTTGGCAAAGACGATATCTTCTGGACTAATGTCTTCCCGACCGAGCTTCTTGCGCGCCATCAGAATGAGATCAAGAAGTTTCACACCATGCTCAAGATTGTTCGATGGTTCGAGCTTTTCTTCGCGTTAATCCCCATCAAGATTCTTTTCAAAATGTTCTGGTTTTCCGAAGAGTTCACCAACACTGTCGCCATGCCCATGATCGCGCTTTTCCTGGGAACCGGAAATGAGACACCAAACGTACCCAGCATCATTCTCGAAAGACTGGTTACTAGTCCAACATATGGAATGTGGTATCCAGGAGACAAGCATAGCGTTGCTAGCAACTTGCCGCCCATGGTGGTTTTCCCCAAGTTCAGCGAATTCTACGAGCGCTGGCGACAGGATCTACTCAAGCGTGGCGTCAACGTCAGACTATCAACAGAAATTACACGAGTAATGAAGCGAGACAAGACTGGCGTTACCGTAAGGCTGATCAAGCGCACCCCAATGCCTGATGCGCATAACCCTAATAGTGCCAATGTGCCTTACGACAATGACCACAACGCCGACCCAAACGCGCAGGAGAAGGAAGAGCACTTTGACGAACTGATTCTCTGCGTGCTCGCCGACACAGCAAAACGTATTCTAGAACCTACTGCCTCCTTCCGTGAGAAGAAGGTCCTCGGCTCCGCCAAGTTCTCTGACGACATCACCGTCACCCATTGGGACAGTGACTATATGCACAAGCACTATGAGAACTTTTACGACCCAGATAAGGCCGTCACGAAGCTCTCTGACATCGATCAAACTGCGCGTAACACTATGGCCGAGAAGTCCTTCAAGCCGATGTACTACATCAAAATGTACCCCCAGGATCGATCAAAACTTGAAATGTGCTTTGATTGCACAAATTACCAGAGTCAGTTTCCACCGGAGGTTCCCTTTGACAAGCACATCTTCCAGACCATCTATTTGAATAAGGAAAGAGACGGCCACCTCTGGAGTATCGACGAGATCAACAAGGACAAAATTATTCGCAAGGATTGGTGGCACCAGCTGTGCCATTCCTGGACGCATTACGTTTTCGTCGTCCCATGGATGTGGCTTCTACAGGGCCGAAAGCACACTCGATTTGCAGCGGCATGGACACTCATCAACGCCCATGAGGTTGCGGTTATGAGCGGAATTGCTGCGGCTGTTGATCTGGGTGCACAGTACCCTGCTGATCTCGAGCGCGACAAGTTTGCTTTCTTGAGCTTCAGGCTATACTACCTACTGGCATATGGAAAGTGGTATAGCCGAAAGGCGACAAAGAAGACGAAGGAGGGACCGGGCAAGGACTGGGCAAGTGGTCTTTACGGTAGCGTCTACCGTGGTCCAGGTGTAAGCGATATTGATAGACTACAATGGAGGGAGGAGAACAACGTACAGGATGTGCCGATCAAGTACGGGTTTCCTTCTGATAGTGGAAAGCGATAGGTTGCGAGCGGATAAGGCTGAGGACGATGAAGGAAGTGTCGGAGGTATACATAGGGACGATGCAGCTATACCGAACATAATCTTTAATGCGCACTACAGATATGTAATTGGTCCTTCTGTGCATACACTAGCCCAACTTGTATATTTGGAGAATACATATCTTACGAGTAACGCCCGGCTGACCACGAACCGTTAACTCCAAACTCCGTTGTCAAACTCCGCCAAGTCCCTGCAGATCAGTGTCCACCGAACTCCACATCTCCACATAAAAGGTAAGCATGATGTCGTTGCTGGAAGTATAAGTACTCCACCTTGACAACATCTTATATACAAGAGTTGATACCAGAAACAAGCCCGTTACCGTTCTCACCCAATATGTCTTCCAAAACGCCCCTCGACGTCGTCTTCGGCTGTATGACCTTTGGCCGCGAAGGCGAAGAACAAGTCCGTACTTCAAGTCTAGATGACTGCGCGGCTATCCTAGATACTTTCCAGTCCTACGGCCATAGCGAAGTCGATACCAGTCGTTTCTATGGAGTAAGCACACGTACCCCCTTCAGCCCTATTCGCTAACCCCACTAGGATGGTTCATCAGAAGAGTACCTCCAGAAGCTAGACTGGCAGAAAAGAGGCCTGACAATGGACACAAAGTTCTTCCCTAATGTTCCGGGTCTTTTTGGCCGTCCTCAAACACACTCCAGATTAGAAGATATGCGCAAGAGCTTAGACGAGAGTCTGATTGCTCTTGGAGGAAAGCAGGTAGATCTGTGGTATCTCCATGCACCTGATCGTACAGTACCGCTTGAGGAGACGGCCAAAGCCGTGAACGATCTGCTCAAAGAGGGGAAATTCAAGAGATGGGGCGTGAGTAACTTCATGTCTTGGGAAGGTGTGTTACATGTTCTTCTCTTGTGATTTCTTACGCAGGCACATTGCTGATTCTTTCCCATCAACAGTGGCTGCACTCTGTGAAATTTGCAAAGCAAACAGATACCAATTGCCCAGTGTATACCAAGGCGTGTACAATGCCCTCCACCGCAGTATTGAACACGAACTTCTCCCTTGTTTGCGAAGATACAACATGTCCTTCTACGCGTTCAATCCGCTAGCAGGCGGATGGTTAACCTCGCGTTACAAGCGCGATATGCAGGATAGCACGATCGAGTCTGGAAGTCGCTTCGATCCAAACCGTATGCAAGGAAAGATGTACCGCGCGCGTTATTGGAATGACGAGTTCTTCACAGCCATCGAGGGGTTGCGTACCGAGCTACCTAATGGCCAAACAGAGAGCGAGACCGCGCTGAGGTGGATGATGCATCATAGCCAACTTAAGAAGGACTATGGGGACAAGGTCATCATTGGAGCTAGCAGTAAGAAGCAACTGGAGATGAATCTCGTTGACTTTGAGAAGGGGCCATTGGATGAGAGCGTTGTGAAAGCATTGGATCAAGGTTGGGCTGGTACTCGTGGGGTGACTTGGAAGTACTTTCATTAGAGTTGTGGATGTGAAATATGGGTGATAGGCTAGTTGACCCAAGGTTTTTGGGTAGAGAATTTGTGTTGTGAACCACAGTTCAGTCACCACCAGTACAGTGAACCATAGTTGGAGAGCGACATGCTAAGCCTTCGGGTAGATAAAATGATTGGAGTTTTCCCTTACAATGTGTTCCTTTTTCTCTTCACATAAACCCAACAGCAACTCTGAACCGACACGATAGAATAGTCGACGAAATGACAAATCCCTACAACCAACCAACCAAATGCGTCTCTACCACCACCAGCTGGTTCAACCCCAGTGGCACAGCACATTACGTGCGTCCTATTCTTCAGCCTGACATCTACGTGGAGACAAATAATACCTTGGAAAGGATCATCGCAGGGAATTCAGTTCGAGTAGCCAAACTCGAATCCCTACTCAAGGAGAAGCGGGGACAGCATAGAGCTGAAGAAGCCGCAACCGCAGCTAAGGCAACTGAAGAAAAGCGCCAACGAGAATTTGCTGCCGCGATCCAACAGCACCGAGATGATGAACTCTCAGCCATAGATATGAGGCGGCGTACACGGTATGGAAGCACTATGAGCCATGAGGTAGCAGAAGAAAAAGCAGCTGCCACCGCGTCACAGGCGAAAGAGGCCCAAGACTACCGCAACTCGTGCGACTGCAACTTTCAACGATCCGCAAACAGCAATAGGAGAAACTTGACAGAAAACCAAGAGGAAGAGCATAGGAAAAGGCGCATAGATATCTCTTCACGGTCTGCTTCGCAGGCCGATCACGAGGTGACGCTTGCGAACTGCCACTTGGAACTCGCGAAATGGGATCTGCAACGCAACGCTCGAATGGACTCGGAAGCTACATTCGACGCCTTCTTTTCCGTGGAAAACAAGCCACGTCGCACAGGAGCCCAATGGCGCGATACCGGCAAAGTAATCCGCCCGTATATCACATCATCTGGCCCAGGACATGACACCTGTTGCGACTTCGATCACTGCAATGGGTTTTGTGCAGATATCGAGACTACCCGACACGAGTAATTGCGGTATACGTGTCTAGGTAGACACACGTGCAGGCTTATGCGATTACGACATGTCAGCCTCAAGTAGAATATATCCTAGTACTGCACAACAAGGTACGATAATTCAGTACAAATGGCCGTGGGATGTTACCTCATCAGCAGAAGTACTCGGTACAGAAGGAAAAACCACCGAAAGAAAGCACAAATGTTTTAAGAAGGCCGGCATAGGTGAATGGTAGGGTATTTGGGTATTAGGTGTAAGCTATAATTGAAGATGACAAGACTTAGCGAAGGAAAGAGGGTATATCAACCAACCAACCAATCCCAACCAGACCGAAAGTCAAACGCATGCCGATGCACCTCGAAAGTGAAATTGGAAGACTCGTAGTAAACTACCTGGAACAATTCAACGCCTAGGTTATCTCATTCTGAAATCGTGTAAATAGTACGTGAACGCCCGTTGTCCCATTGTCATAGTGTATCTATCATTAGAAAGGAACTGTCAGCATACTACTTCCTTTCCCTTGTCTCTCCATCCACGGGCTTGACGCTTGTAGAGCCTTCGAGTGGAGGGATATAACCTAGTTGCTTCTCATTTCCGCCCTCCATTGGTGTGAAGGGCGTAAAGCCACCTTCAGGTGACGCTTGCCATTTGGCCATATCCGCCTTGAGCTGTTCAAGCTCTTTCTGGAAGCGATTACCAAAGACATCGATGTAGTAGGTGGCGCCATTGTAGACACTCCAGATGAAGACGACGCTAAGGAACAGACCTGAGGGCCAGCGGTACCAGAACCAAACCGGGCATGGTAGCATGGTCAAAACAGCATAGCTGTATTGGATGAACATGAAGGCAGGCTCCTGCAGGAAGTCGGGCAGCGAGAGAACGATCTTGCCGATCCATGTTTTGGCATACGACTTCCGCAGCCATGTAAAGCTAGTAGGCCGACCCGCCGCAATCTTGTCACGGCGGCGTACTGTGATGAGAAAGTGGTAGCCCAGCTGCCAGAAAGCGTACGGTACAGTGGCCCACAGCATCATCTGCAGCAGACTGTAATGGTGGGGTGAAGTTGGATCGGAGTGGCGGATATCGTAGATGGCGGGATAGTGTTCTTGCTGATATTCTGGCGAAAGCAGGTGAACAAGGCAGTGTAGCGTGACACAGGGCATGATGTGGATGAACAAACTAGAAATGTTAGCATGAGTTCCATGTTGCAGGAACAAGCAACTAACCTGACAACCTTGTCCATGCTGTGGAAGACAAGCGAATTACGCCACATGACGATGGCAACAGCGTTGTTTCCCATGCAGAGGCAGTATGTTGCAATGAACAGACGCTTAGACTGCGGGAAGACCCACACACTCAAAACGAGTAGTATGTTGACGAAGTAGCACAGATCTGCGAGAAAGTAGTGGTAGCCCTTCTTGTGGTAGGTGAAGAAGCGAAGAGGCATGAAGTAGAGTAACTGCGCAGTGTACCAGTGTGGAAGTAGATCCGGATGGCACCCGACAAGGTATCCTGAGACGAAGATGTTCATGACGGCAGCAATGAAGGAAGCCTTCTCACGCGCAGTGACAGTGAGCGACTCGTTCCAGCGGCGATTTAGACGATCCACCGAGTGGCGCATGCGCCTCTTGTATTTCTCAAGTTGTTCTGCCTCAGATGGAACTCTCCGTCGCCATTCTTCCACGACGCGATCTTTTGTAATGCCCCGGTTCTTTGCCTGGTTCTTGATCCTCTCCGTCTGGGAAGCTATGGAGCTCTGTATCTTCTCGATGCGCTGCGATAGGGCGAGGTTCTCGACAAAGTCGAACATGGTAAGCTTCTCGACGGGCGGGAAAAAGGCGGCATCTTCAAAATCGGACTCATCATGATAGGAGCTGTTGGAGAAGGAGGCAGAACGGGAGAGGCCAGGTGTAGAAAGCGGCTGCGGGTTGGTGGAGGAGACTGGCTCATCGAGTAGCGCCGAGCCAGCATGGGTAGAGTCGCCTGGTGTCGGACGCGCTGACAGCTCAAAAACTCCCAGCTGTGGCTCTGATCTCGACTTGGGTAGGCCGCTCCCATCTGCATCCTCTGGGGTCGCCATGTTGGATATTTCCTCCTGGACGATTTCGAGACTAGAGGGGGTCCGCCGATGGAGGGGTCTTTTGAAGTGACGCGGGGGTGAAGCTGCAGCCATCATGGCGGTTAGCTGATGTATCTCGACAGATCCGCCAAGGGTCCATGTTTGGGGGAGGGTAGGTATATCAGAGGGAAGAAGCGTACAGTGGTGGTGGTTTGCTTAGATTAGATCTAGTCAGACCCTATGCTCTCATGACAAGGCGAGTGATGTGCGGGGTTCCTGAATCGTGCTCTTCTGCCAGTCTCGGTGCCTCTGGGGGAAAAGTCGTGGGTGAATGCAAGCTGGTGATTGGCAAGCTTCACAACGTCATCGCAGGCACCTGGGGCATGCAAACTGAGGACGGTCACGAGGAAAGGCGGTTCTGGAAGAGATGTTGGACTGAGGAGGCGCAAGATACTGACAGACTCGGGCAGATCTAGGGAAATGTTGTGTATAGGACCAAGTCGGTGTGGTCAGCTCCCCTGCCTGCGTATCGGCCATGGTTTCGTCACCGCGGCCCACATGCCAGTGCATATCGGCACTAGCACGCTTTGGGCCCAAGGCTCAACGCGTCTGTGGACGCGCTCCAACACGACGAGAAGGACGGGCAGGCCCACCCCGCGACCACCAACCCGCCCAACACCACTTCACCACAGCGCATTCGCCGTATAGGTGTCGCGCAACTCGACCGCCATCATGGGAAAGCTGGTGCGGCTCGAGATATACAGTAGGTACCCAGACGCGCAATTGTTTGCACTCACTGAACATGCGCAGACTTCAAGTCCTACCGCGGACGCCATACCCTCCTCTTCGGCGACTCGTACTTTACATCCATCATCGGCCCCAATGGATCCGGAAAGTCGAATAGCATGGACGCCATCTCCTTCGTCCTGGGAGTCAGGTCGTCCCATCTACGATCCGAGAAGTTGAAAGACATGGTCTACCGTGGCAGGATCATCCAAGAAGCTAGGATCAATGCCGATGGCACCGTAACTGAAGCCGACGGCGATGCGGGCGGCGATGCGAATGGTAATTCCAATGGCGACTCACAGGAGAACGGCGATTCGCAAGCCAGCACCCAGCGCAACGACCCACAGAACGCCTGGGTCAAGGCCGTCTTTGAAGATGATGCTGAGCAGACACACGAGTGGCAGCGTACCATTACGAGCTCTGGCTCAAGCGAGTACCGCATTAACAACCGGGTCGTCACTCAGAAACAGTACGGCGAGGCGCTTGAGGAGCACAGCATTTTGGTCAAGGCGAGGAACTTCCTCGTCTTCCAGGGTGACGTCGAGAAATTGGCGACGACAGCACCAGAACAGCTCACACTGCAAGTCGAGCGCATTTCCGGCAGTCTGGAGCAGAAGGCCGAGTACGATCGCCTGAAAGAAGAGTCAGAGGCCGCCACCGAGGACAACGCGAAACATCTGCACGAGCGTCGCGGTATCAACGGAGAACTCAAGACATACCAGGAACAAAAAGCCGAAGCCGACGAATACGAGAAGAAGCTCGCCGAGCGCGATGAAGCTATTGTCACCAAGAATCTTTGGAAGCTCTACCTAGACCAGCAGGTTATGGAGAAGGCGCGGAACAAGATTGCCAGTCATCAAGAGGAGCTCAAAGAGCACAAGCGCAGCGTCGAAAAGTACCACCAGAGACACGAGGCGGAAAGGCAGGCCGAGGCTAAGATCAGGCGAGATCTTACCAAGACGGACCGCAACACCAAAGCTAAGGAGAAGGAGATTGAAGATGCCTCCAACGAGCTCGCACCCATCGAAGAGAAGATCCGACTGTCCAACGAGACGCGCCGAAAGTACGAGAGCAGACTTGACGAACTCCGAAAGAAGCGCGACGCAGAAAAGAAGGCAGTCGAAAAGTGCCAGAAGGATCTTGATCTGGTGCAAAAGGCCGAGAAGAAGTGGGAGGATGACTTCAAGGCTGCTGCTCAGAATCAAGGTCGTGAGCTTTCCGAGCAGGATCTCCAAGAGTACGGTCGACTGCGCAGCGACGTTACGAAGCGGACACACGGAGATCAGATGCAGATAGACAAGCTCAAGCGAGAGGTCGAGACGGACAGGGATCAAGTCAAGAATCTTCAGCAGAGCGTCGACAGCCATGAAAAAGCTATTGAAAAGCTGAATGCAGACATCAGTAAGCTCGAGGAACGCCAGCAAGCCTCCAAGACACAGATCAGGGATCTCGAAAGTGCAAGAGCTGCCAAACAGCAGGAACTTGACAGGCTTCAGGCCGACCGAAAGCAGATCGAGATGCAGTACTACGAGAAGAATCAGTTGCTACAAGAGGTTCTGAAGCAGCTTAGTATTGTAGAAGGTAGCCGTCGAGAGTCAAGGAAGCAGCAAGAGGCCCGCAGGACCATTGATCGCTTGAAAACTCGCTTCGGATCCGAGAAAGTACACGGTCGTTACAAGGATCTCATCACGCCAAAGATGCAAAAGTATCGCAAGGCCATCGGTCGCGTGCTCGGACACCAGATGGATACCGTCATTGTCGACACGGAAGCTACTGCCAAATCTTGTATCGAGTACCTCAAGGCAGAACGCATTGGAGTCATGTCTTTCAACCCATTGGACTCTATCCAGATCCAGGCAGTAGACCCTCAACTGAAGGGTATGCACGAAGGCATGCGACTTGCCATAGACTGTATCAACTACGAGCCCAAGCATGAGCGAGCAATGACTGCCGCCTGCGGTAACACCATGATCTGTAATACGGAGAAGCTCGCGAAAGAACTCAGATATCAAAGGCGCATCGAGGTCAAAGCGGTCACCCTGGATGGACGTGTCATTGGTAAGGGTGGAACACAGACAGGTGGTGAGCTTGACCGCGATGACGATTCTAGCGAACAACAATGGGACGAGCGATCTTACCAGGCCCTGCTAGACAAGAAAAACAGATACGAAGAGGAGCTTCGTGCCCTTCCCAAGCAGGACCGACAGTATACCCAAGAACAAGCTCTCCAGGTCGAGCTACTAGACTTGGAGGAGCAAATCACCCGAGCAAAAGAGGAAGCCCGAGCGCTTGGACGTAATATCGAGAGCTTGAAGAAGGAGCTGGCGCATCACAAGAGCGAGCTGAAGGGAGTTCGTCCCAATTACGAAAAGCAGGCACAACGGTTACAGAACCGAGAGGCAGAACTCGAGAGCTACCAAGACTCAGTGAACCAGGTCAATGATCAGGTATTCGCCGCATTCTGCCAACGGCTCGGTTACGAGTCTATACGCGACTACGAAGCCCAACAGGGTACGGTCCAGCAAGAAGCAGCTGAGAAGCGTCTCGAGTTTAGCAAGCAGCGTAGCAGGCTTCAATATCTAATGAAGCAGGTTGACTCATCCCACAGAGGTGTTGAAGAGCGCCTCAAGCAAGCAGAGGAGGAGATCAAGCGCAAGACTGCCGATATCACTGAGCTCGAAGCTAAGCGAGAAGAGCTGCAAAGTGCCCGAGACGTTCTCCAGGCCGAGTTGGAAACGCTACAGGACCAGCGAACCCGTTTAGAGCAGAAGTTGGCTGAACGAGTTGCGGCTGTCAAGGAGGCACGACGCACCCTGGACCAGCGCAACGAAAAGGTCAAGAACGTGCTGAAGGAGGTCGACGAAGAAGATGCAAAGATCAAATCGAGCGCGACGAACCGCTACAACGTTCTTAAGGAGTGTCGAGTGAACGAGATCAAGATTCCGCTTACAGAAGACTCAAAGCCACTGACGTCGCTACCGATGACCGACATGCCGCGACCGGACGCCGATGCTATGGACGTTGACGAGGATCCTGATTCGACCCAAATACAGCCTGCAGAAGTGGATGACTACGGTATCGACGTCGACTTTGACGAGCTAGACGAAGAGTTGAAGACAGAAATCGTCGAGATACTCGAAACTGTGAGTACTGAAGCTGACTTTTAGCTGAGACCTTGCTGATATCATGTAGGAGGACGAACAAGATGACCGTGTACAATCCCAGAAGCTCAAGGCTGCTGAATCCAAGTTGACTGACGTGATTGCAAACCTCGAGACCGATATCAACAAGGCTACACCCAACATGCGCGCCGCCGAGCGTCTCGCTGCAACAGAAACGCGTCTGAAGGCTATAGATGAGGCGTTCGCCGAGACACGCAAGCGCGCAGCGGCTGCAAAGAAGGCGTTCGAGGAAGTCAAGACGAAACGCTACGATCTGTTTATGAAGGCATTCAACCACATTTCCGAGAATATCGGCGGCACCTACAAGGATCTGACCAAATCGCCACAGTTCCCGCTCGGAGGGCAGGCCTACCTCGACATGGAAGACAGCACAGAGCCGTATCTAGCAGGTCTCAAATACCACGCCATGCCGCCGCTCAAGCGTTTCCGTGACATGGAGCATTTGTCAGGTGGTGAGAAGACCATCGCTGCATTGGCTCTGCTGTTTGCGATCCACAGCTATCAACCTTCGCCATTCTTTGTCCTCGACGAGGTGGACGCTGCACTGGATAACGTCAATGTTAGTCGGGTTGCGAAGTACGTCCGCGAACATGCTAGTCCGGGTATGCAATTTATTGTCATCTCCTTGAAGGCAGGCTTCTTCCAGGAGAGTGAGACACTGGTGGGCGTTATGCGGGATCAGGGTAAGATGACGAGCAAGTACCTCAGTCTAGACGTAAGTTACTCCCTTTGTGCGGAAAGGAAACATTTGCTAACGCTGTTACAGTTGCGGAAATATCAACCTGCTTAGTCTTTCCGAATGGAAGCGCAACGATTCTGCGGCGTCTAATGATGATCGTCTTTCATGAAGTGTGCACATAATACCTCGTTGCCTTTTTTCAGGCATCGTCTGATTTGCGGATGTCGCATAACTAGTGTAGTCCATTGTGTTACAATAACGTTCTCACTCGCGTTACAATCAATTCTTGCATGTTCACATAACGCGTTCACGATAACGCGACGTCCCGTGACTTATTGAAACGACCTGCTTATCTTATCCAGCCCCACTCACGGACATAACGCGGCTGAATAGCTATCATAGCAGCTATGCGTGAAGCCTATAAATTATTGCCATGACAACATGTCGCTATGGAGATTCCTGAATGT